CTTAATGGGAGGGTAAAGCTGATCCCTGACCCCAGATGTTGACCCTGAGTGTGTGGGGCTGTTCCCAAAGCACAGCTATTCCAAGCTGGACTGGAACTGAAGTGAAAGCCCTTATTTTTTGAGGCAGAGCTGATAACCCACCTCTTCTCCTCTGCTTACACAACAGCACGGGATGCCTTTCATTGTCATTGTGGTTTCCACACATGAGATCCAGAAAAGGGGCTTCTAAAACCGCCCAGGCCTGAACAGCATCAAAAAAATCAGGCAGTGTCCAAGCACCCTGGTGAGCTGGGAACCCCCTTTTCCCAGCCAGGGGCCAAGGGGAAGCGCTGGGTTCCCAGCCCTGCCTCTTCCTCAAGCGTTCACAAGCCGATGACCCCGCGAGTGCCGCGGGTTTCCCTGGAGAGGGCAGCCGAGCATCGCTGAGTTCAAAAGCATCCCAGAATGGGGCACTGGGATCCAAGCAGGAGGGAAGGCTGAGCTCCCTCTAGGAGAAGGCAGGTTGCTGGTGCTGGGGTGGGGCTGTGGGATGGCAGAGCAGGGTAAGGTGCATCCCAGGGGTCGAGGATGTGTGAGCTCCCCGCTGCAGCCTGGATGGTCTGTACACAACCACACGTGGCCAGTTCTGCTGGGATTTGGGGCAGACTTGCCTCCACCCACCCACACAGGTCCCTGGTGTCACCCAGCAGCTGTCCCTGCTTTCCAGCAGCACCAGCACAACCTGCCCACTCCCAGCTCCAGGCAGCTGCTGCCCAGCCGAGGGAGGGAGGTGGTTACTGCAGGAAGGATGGCTGAGAGCAGGTAGAGCAGTGACCGCAGCTCTGCAGCCCTGGGTCCGTCCTCACCACAGGATTGTGTCACCAAAGACCTTAAGCTGTTTTCCTTCCTCTTGCAAGAGATAAAAATCACCTCATTCCTCTGGCATTGGCTGAGTCTGTGCACAAAGCAGGGCCTTACCCACTTTGGGGGGCACAGAGAGGTGAGGTTTGTGCTGTTAACGGGGCTGAAGGGCAGGAGATTTCTGAGCTTGCCCTTAAACCTGCCCTTAAACAGCCAGGTATATCTGGATTTTTCCATATCTGCCTCTTAGGTCTTTTCCCTCTCCTCCTGTTCCACGTCCCCCAGAGAAATCAGGAAGAGACCATTGACTGTCTCTTGCCTCAAACACTGCAGGTACATGGAAGAATCAGATGGACTGAGAGAATTATTTCAGCAAGTCAGGAGGGCTCGAGCGGTTGTGAGATGTGGCACGAGCAGGCAGAAGAACACAACACCCGAGAGGGGAAGTGGGGAAGGAAAGAAAACCCGACACACGTTCACAGAAAGAGCAAGAAAGCAGAGGGAGGACTCGCACTGATGGTTTTCCAGCCCAGGGGAATGAACCAGAGTGGTACAAGAAAGCCAGCTGAAAGCAGAAGTGCGGTGAGAGGAGAGGGAAGCAGCCACCACCCGCAGCTGCACAGGCTGCCCTGGGAGCCAGAGGGATGGGAAGCCCCCGAGCACCCGTGGGGAGGTGAGTGGTTTGCCTTTGCTGACCCACAGCATCCTGCTGGGTCCTTTTTCTCACATCATCCCTGAGAGCCCAGGCACGGGGCAGGCTGGGGAGGCTGCTCCTCACACAGAGATTCCTGGTGCTGCTCGGGATAAACTGCCATGTGTGCCAAAGTGGGGGGAAAGTGGTTTTTAGGAGGAATTGTTTCTTAAGCAGAAGATGAAAGGTAAGTGCTTAATAGCAGGCTGTGGGGCTAAGTCTATACAGATGATTTTTGGAAATATTAATGTTGGATCAGTTCATCAGGATCTGTGGGGATGGGACAATGGGGAATGGCTTCACTGACAGGATTAGACAGGATATTGGGAAGAAATTCTTCCCTGTGAGAGGGGTGAGGCTCTGCCACAGTTGCCCAGAGAAGCTGTGGCTGCCCCATCCCTGGAAGTGCCCAAGGCCAGGTTGGACAGAGCTTGGAGCAACTTGGGATAGTGGGAGGTGTCCCAGCCCATGGCAGGGGGTGGGACTGGATGAGCTTTAAGGTCCCTTCCAACCCAACCATTCCACGATTCCGTGTGTCAGAGGTATTTCCCAGTGTCTCCCAGGGAGCAGTGTGATGCTGAGCTCAGTGTTTACTCTGACTCTGTGCATGGTGGTTTTGGTGGAGTGAGGGCAGCTCCATTTTGCCCTGTTTTGTACCCAAGCTGACCCTCACAGCTGCTCTGCACCCACCCCACCCTGGGCTTCAAACACTGCCCCCCCCAGGCAGTCACACGTGGGCAGAGCTGGACTGTGGAAAGAAATAAAGCAAGTAATCTTCAGTGTGACATTTATGCCAGACAGGTCCCACAGCAGGGAGGGAGTTCCACTCCCCATCATTTAATGTGGTCAGAGGGACAGGCTGGGATGAACAGCTACTTCCAAAATAATGGAAAAACTTCTGCGACTAAAACCACAGATGAACCAAAATATTTGTAAAGCAAAAGGTATTTTGCTTTTTCAGCAAGTGAAATATCCAAGCATTAGTGACAATTTTTGCATAAAGCATATTAGGTGATCGTCTAAGACATTTTATTTTACCATAACCATACATCCCTCAGAAATTCTGAACATGAAATATTCCAGGCCAGCACTTTCAGAGCGCTGCAGGCACAATGCACTGGCTGATTGCAGCAGGGAAACTTAATTTTACATTTTCTAAGCAACTGGTATGTAACTTATTAATCACCAGGATGCTGTGATGGCCCTGTAAATGCAGGAGTGGAAGCAGGAATCGTGCTGCTGCGTGAGAAGCACTGCAAGTCTGACAGCTGGAATCAATCCCAGCAATGCACTGAGAAGGAAAAGGACTTTTTCGTTTGTAAATTTAATTTCCCCCGAAGCCAGTGGAGTTGTTAGGCTGGAGCGAGTGGGCTCACAGCAGATCTAATGGAGGGGGAGGTTTCTCTGCTGCTCTGGGCAGAGTTTGCAGTCACTGGGGCTGTATCAGGAATATGTTGCATTCCCAAATGTCGTATCTGGATTCTGTTCCTAATAACTGGGCTCCTCATTTATTGGGGGTGTTGTTTCCTGGGGCTCTGCTGTTGCTGCTGGCACTGCCTTGGGGGTGTTCTCCATTGCAAGGATGCTTTGATTTGGCAAAATATTCCCCACCCTGGGAGATCCTTCTGGCAGGAGACACTGTGCTGTGATCAGAGCTATTCCTGTGCAGAATTCCAGGGAATCCACGCTTGGCTCCTTGCAGGGAACCAGTCCCTCTGTGCCACAGCTCCTGCAGCGAAAGGAGCTTTATGGCCCAAAAAAAAAAAAAAAGGAAACAAAAAAGGGGACAGGCACTGCAGGAGTTATTTACCATTATAACCAAATTCTCTCCCCAGGCAGTGTAACATCAGGGATGGCATTTTGCTGCCTTCACTCTCTTGCCCGGTGTTCAGCACTTTCCCAGCTCCTCAGGAAGTTAGTTGGGTATTGCACAACTTCAGATTAGAGGATTTCTGATGGCCCTGGGAATGCTGGCTGCAGGTGAGGGATGCCAGGGTGATGCTGGAATCTGCTTAATTAAGAGATGGCTTGGTTTGGATGCTGGAGTTGGGCTGGGGAGGCTTGGATACTCGAGGCAGTTGCTACCCTGGTGAGCCCTGTGATATGAAAAGTCCATCTGCCTGCTAAATCCACCTCCCTCAGGAGGGAGGGATGTTGTCAGCTTTAATAACAGCAGTGGATAATTCCCACTGCCCGTGTCGTGTTCCTGTGAAGAGCTGCAGGAAATGAGAGCTCTGAGACCTGAGTGCAACAACCCCAGCGCTGTTACCCCATGCCAGGGCCTGATGTAAGAGGGGACAGACCTGCTGCAACACTGAGCCACACGTCAGCCAAAGTCCAGGACTCCTCCAGCCTGACATGCCAAGAAATCCCATTCAGGACAGACCTGCTCTGCCTGTAATCCCCACTGAACATCCCAGAGCCCCCAGTGTTCCAGCCCCACAGGCAGCAGGAGTGGAGTGTGGGGCTCAGGCTCTTCTCCAGGATCTCCTGGGCAGCATCTCAAGTACTAAGAAGCTCGAGGGTATTTTGCAACATCTGCAAACCACAGAACCAGGGACACCAGAGTGTCGGGGAAATCGGTGGGGAAGGAAGTCACGGGGTCAGGTAGAAAAAACATTGTTTGGCACAATATCCCTTCAAAAGAGAGCTGAGGGGAAGGAGAGATAGTGGCTTGTTTGTTCTGGGGAAAAGGTAATGCTGGCCAGCTCAGTGCTCTCCTCCAGCTGAGGGAACTCATGGTCCCATTGCCTGGATAAAGGATCCTGGATACTCAAAGCCAGGCAGATGCTTTCTGGAATGGGGTCCTGTCCTGTGGGATTTTCCAGCAGGTGCCTGGCACTTGGAACACAGCATCTTGCTGTAAATCAGGCAGGTTTAGTGTATCCCAGAGCTGCCTCTTCACCTGATCTCTGTAGGCCTTGTTCCCTCAGTTTAAACTGTGTAACCCACAGCGGGAGTGGGAGAAAACAACCCCTGAAGGACAAGCCCCTCAGTGTGATGAAGATGAAAGGGGTTAAATGCATCAAGCTGCAGAACTGGAGAGAAAAACCCAGCTCTGCTGCCACAGAGTGCCCTGAGCAGTGAATCCTGGAGGAATTGGTGAGAACTGGCCCAGGATCTGTGCAATTCCCAGTGATGCTGCTTCCCTCTTGTGGTGAGGAACCAGCCCGGGAAATGGATGTGGTACCTGTGGGCTGTGACAGATGGGGCTCAGCTAAATCACCAGACAGAGCCTGGACCTCTGCTGGGAAAGGGTGGAAGATGACTCCAGCATTTGGGCTGTGGACCTGGAAATAGGTCCCCATGGGCTACTTTCTTTTCACTTGCTTCCCTCTAAAGGGGTGATGTGTCTGGGTTGAATTTATTGCCTGTTGTGTAAATCCTCTTCAACTTTTTCAGAGCATCTGAGGAGGAGCAGAAGGAAGCAGGAAGGCTCTCTGTGAGCTCCTAACTCCAGATAACAACCATGGATATTTGTAAGATTCCTGAAAACGCCTCCAAGTGCAGCGGGAGCACCATGCAGTGCTTCATGGTGCTCAGCACGAATGCACAGAAGATAAGCATTGCCACCCTGTGCTGCCTCTTCGGGACACTGTGTGTTTTGAGAACTCCCTGGTGCTCTACTTGATCTTCTCTTCCCCCAGGACCAGGAAAAAGCCTTCCTACATCTTCATCAGCAGCTTGGCCCTGGCTGACATCCTGGCCAGCGTCATCTTTGTCTGCAGCTTTGTGAACTTCCACGTGTTCAACGGAACCGGTCCCTCCAAGGAGGCCTTCCTGCTGCAGCTGGGAGGGGTGAACACCTCCTTCTCCGCCTCCCTCAGCAGCCTGCTGCTCACAGCCCTGGACCGCTACGTCTCCATCAGCCGGCCCTCCGAGTACAAGCTCCTGATGACGAGGAAAAGAGCCTGGATAGCCCTGGGGGTGCTCTGGGCCACCTGCGCCGCCGTGGCCGCCCTGCCCCTCCTGGGCTGGAACTGCTGCACGCTGGACTCCTCCTGCTCCGAGCTGTTCCCCTTCGTGGACCACAGCTACCTGTGGGGCTGGGTGTGCCTCACCCTGCTCCTGCTGGGCTGCATCGTCTGCGCCTACGCCCGCGTGCTCCGGAGGGCCCGGCAGCACGCGGCCCACATGGAGCGGCAGCAGGCGCAGGGCGGGAAGCAGAACAGCCGCGTGAGGATGGACGTGAGGCTGGCCAGGACCCTGCTCATGGTGCTGGCCGTCCTCGTGCTCTGCTGGTCCCCCGTCCTCGTGCTCATGATCTGCAGCCTCTTCTCCCGGCCCAGCGACCGCCTGCGCAAGGCGTTCGCCTTCTGCAGCACGCTCTGCCTGCTCAACTCCATGGTGAACCCCATCATTTACGCCCTGCGGAGCAAGGAGCTGAACTCCTCCCTGAGGAGGGTGTTGTCTCGCTTCAGGAGGCAGCCGAAGGCCTCTGAGGAAAGCCCGGAGGCTGAGAGCACCCACAGGTCCTCCGTGGTGGAGACCGTCTGCGAGGACGCGCCCGGGACGTAGGGAGGCACCCGGGGAGAACCCGTCAGCTCAGGCTGCCAGAAGCAGTCTGGATCACTTCCCTGTTTCTTTTCCCTTCTGATGGAGGACCTGGGAGATGAGGATCAGCTGCCTGCCACGGAGACAGCTCCTGCTGATGTTATCCTCCAGTGCTGGGACACGACAAGCACGGACCTTGCCCTCAGGCACGTGGTGGGATTGTTGGGGTGTCCTGTGCAGGAGCTGGACTTGATGATCCTCGTGAGTCCCTTCCAACCCAGAACATTCTATGATTCTGTGGTTCTACAGCCTCCTGCCAGGGGAGGTTCAGGTTGGACATCAGGAGGAATTTCTTCTCTGGAAGGGTTAAACACTGGAAGGAGCTGCCCAGGGAGGTTTGGAGTCCCCATTCCTGAGGTGTTACACTGGCAGCCAGTCCCCAGGCTGCAGAGATACCAGTGCCAGCCATGAGACAGTGGATAAAACCATGTCCCAGAACAGCAGATCCTAATATTTTATGACAATTCCCCCTGCCTGTCCACCAGTAACCCCCAGTCTGTTTTTATCACATTCAGTGGTGTCTGTCCTTACACTCCATAACACAGAGGTAACCCCAAATAAAACCCTCCACAGACCTTCAGGTTCTCCAGAAATCCCCAGGGATCACATAATCTCTCTGAATCCCTTCACTGGGCACAGGCAGAGCTGTGCCATCACCATCAGCAGAGTGCTGAGAGCACATGAGGCAGAGGTACATCTATTTATACCAGACCCTGGGGGTTGTGTATTTTCAGCACAGTGACAAAAAAAGTCCTCGTGTCCTGGCAAAGGTGACAGAGAGCAACACAAAGTCACGATGAGCTCCCAGTGGCAGGGAATGCCTGGCTGGATCCCACAGGAGCAGGATGGCAGCAGCAGGAGGTACCTTGGCTCTGCCTAGGAAAGGTGCAGATGGTTCCTCTGGACTTGCAGGCAGTCTTGGCCAACTGTGCCTCACAGCATTTGGGACTGTGTTGATTTTAGCATCCATGGAAAACTGGAATGTTCTCACTGTGGTTTATGGACTCTGCAATAGGTGGAGCAGACAGGACCCTGCAGGTACCACATTTCTTCCAGCAAATTCCAGGAGAGCTGACCTAACCACGAAGTGTTTGGTGGATGTTCCGTGATTAAACATTACAGCCACTTGTCATGTTTTATTTCTGTTTCTTCCCTGGTGCATAAACACCTCCAGTTGACAAGTTTAAGCCCAACCTGGGGCAGATACTCTGAGCATGAGGAACTTGATTGGGGTTTTTTTTTGCAAGTTACACAAAAGCAGCACCTTTGGCTGCGTGGAGGGAAAAGTGGGACAGGGCCCTTCACCAGTGACCTGGAGCAGGTGGGTTCCTGCCAGCTCCCAAAATGCCTCCAACGGGGATGATGCTTTCAGGGCACTGCCACGAGGTCCTTGGACTCTGCCCTGTGTCCCAGAGGATGCATCCAGCCCTCCTGTGCGGGTTTTTGGTGCCAGACCTCCCACACCCACACAAGGAGGGACAGCAGACACTGGTACCTTGGCAGGACTGTTGTTATAGAGCCAGGCAAGGAAAGAAGTGGAATTCCACTGCAAATCTGGAGCTTCCCAGTCTCCATCCGACCAAACCAAGTCTGATTTGTATCTAAGAGAGATGAATGCTATCTGAAAATGCCTCATTTTCTCCCACCACACCGTGTTTCTTGTGCCTGGCCCCCACCTGCACAGGAGGGTTGGGGGGCAGAGGAGTCTCACCCAACTCAGTGAATTTTACATTTCTTTTGCGTGGCCCTAGCTAAGATGACTCTTTCTAGAAATATTCCTGCAGTGCAGTGTCCACTCTAGGCTGTTCACTCGAATTTAACACAGACAGGTTTAGCTACTTAAAAACAAACGAGAGAAGCGCTCCGTGACACCAAAACCCGGGGGAACGCGGGAGGTCACACAGGCAGGACGGGGGCAGGGGGGCTGCCCGAGGGGAAGCGGCTGCAGCACCGAGGCTGAGGGTTGGATCGGCGATCCCTGCGGGGATGCCGCGGACCGCAGCCTCGAACCTGCAGCCTCGAAGCCGCAGCCTCGAACCCGCGGCCCCGCCGGACGCTGCGGGGACGCCGCGGACCGCAGCCTCGAACCCGCAGCCTCGAACCCGCAGCCTCGAACCGGCGGCGCCGCCGTTGCCCCGGTGCCCGCGGCGTGGGCCGTGACGTCCCGGGCGGTGGGCGCGGCCGGCCCGCCATGGCGGCGGGAGCCGTGCTGTGTGTGCTGGCCGCGCTCGGGCCGTGCCTGGCGGCCCCGCCGTACCGCCCGGACTGGCGCAGCCTGGACGCCCGCCCGCTGCCCGCCTGGTTCGACCGCGCCAAGCTCGGCGTGTTCGTGCACTGGGGGGTGTTCTCGGTGCCGGCCTGGGGCTCCGAGTGGTTCTGGTGGCACTGGCAGGGCCAGCGCGACGCCGCCTACGAGCGCTTCGTGCGGAGCCGGTTCCCGCCCGGCACCTCCTACGCCGAGTTCGCCCCCCGTTTCACGGCCCACGACTTCCAGCCCCGGCAGTGGGCAGAGCTCTTCTGGCGGGCAGGGGCCAGGTCAGCGGCCGGGGCTGGCCGGGTTGCGATCCCTGAGGGGATGAGGATGGGTCTGGGGGTCCCTGAGGGGAAAGGGGGTCCCTGAGGGGATGAGGATGGGTCTGGGGGTCCCTGAGGGGGTCCTGAGGATGAGGATGGGTCCCTGGAAGGGTCCCTGGGGGGATGAGGGTGGGTTTGGGGGTCTCTGAGGCAATGAGGGGGTTCCTGAGGGAATAAGTGCTGTGGCCACGGGTCCCTGAGGGGATGGGAGAGTCCCTGGGGATATAGAGGAGCCATTTCTGGGAATCTCTGAGGGTTGGAGGTCCCTGGTGACCGAGCAGAGAGGGAACCCATGTCTGGAGGTCCCTGAGTCCCTGGAAAGGCCCAGAGAGGTTGGGGGCACTGCCTGGGGTCCCCAAGAGGCTGCAGGGGTCCCTGAGGGCATGGGTCAATGCCCAGAGTGCTGAGCAGATGACTGACCTTGCTGATTCCTAAGTCTCAATTGTTCCTTCTTTTCCCACATTAAAATCCACTTAAAACCTCTGTCATTCTTGTAGTTGCTTCTAAATTTGGAAGGTAGTGGCAGGGGGCTCCTCGCAGTGTGGCTATCCAGTCCTTGGCTGTTTTAATGACTGTGGGATATCTCAGCTGTCCTTTTGCCATCCTGACCAAGAACCTTTTCCCTCAGGTACGTGGTCCTGACCACAAAGCACCACGAAGGCTTCACCAACTGGGGGTCGCCCAGGTCCTGGAACTGGAATTCTGTGGATATAGGACCCCACCGAGACCTCGTAGGAGAGCTGGGAGAAGCCCTCAGGGAGAGGTATGGCACTGCCAAACTGCTGTTCTGTCAGCTGAATCAGTTGTTAGGGGTTTTTTGATTTTTTTTTTTGCGTATTATTGCAGTGAATCCTCCTGGCTGTGCTGACAAACAGCAGAAAACGATGGGTTTAGTGTGCCTAACTCTTCCTCCTGTTTGTGTCCTTCAGGAACCTACACTATGGGCTGTATCACTCCCTCATGGAGTGGTTTAACCCACTCTATCTTGCTGACAAAAAGAATGGCTTCAAGACCCAGAGCTTCATTACAAAGAAGATGATGCCAGAACTTTATGACCTCGTGCTAAAGTAAGAGCTACAGCCAGTTCAGAACCCTGAGCACTTCCCGCTTCCAGAGAGGAGAACTATTAATTTTGCCAAGGCAAATCTCTTTACTAACCATTAGGAAAGGGGTTCACATTTGCCCTGTGAGCAGTCTGATCTGTAGAATTAAGGTAGGGACAAATTTCTCATGGAAAAGCAGTTCCCTTTAATCCTGCCTTTGTGCAGGGTGGCTGGAAGTGGAGCAACCTGCCTGGTGTTTGTGTGAAGCAGAAAGCGAAGCAAAACCTCCTGGTGATGTCAGGCAGTGGGAAGGGGAAGTATAATGATTGCAGACACAGGAAACACAGTGTGGTGGGAGAAAATGAGCCATTTTGAGATAACATTCGTCTCTCTTAGATACAAACCAGATTTGATTTGGTCGGATGGAGACTGGGAAGCTCCGGATTCGTACTGGAATTCCACCTCTTTCCTTGCCTGGCTCTATAACAACAGTCCTGTCAAGGTACCAGTGCCTGCTGTCCCTCCTTGTGTGGGTGTGGGAGGTCTGGCAGCAGAGAGATGTGTGATAACACCAAAAACCCGCCTGGCAGATGCCAAATGTGTTTTATTCCTCCTACAAAAACCAGAGAAGCCTCCACAGTGCTCCTGTGAGAAGCTCCACTGTCCTTTGCAGCACTGCCTGAGAGAACAGAGAGGGGCTCCCCCAGAGAGGGGTTCAGCCTTCTCAGGAGGGTTCTCTCTTTCGTCACACAGGGGAATTTTAATTTTAGCCGTTTTCCTCCTCACCTGGATGCCTTTGCTGGCTCAGGGGGGTGATTGCAGGTGGGACAACCCAAGACAAAATGTGCCCTGAGCTGAGTCTGTTCCCCCAGGACACCGTTGTTGTTAACGACCGCTGGGGCCAGGGCTGCTCGTGCCGGCACGGAGGGTTCTACAACTGTGCTGACAAATACAAGCCAGGCACTCTGCCAGATCACAAGTGGGAGATGTGCTCCTCTATTGACAAGCTGTCCTGGGGCTACCGGAGCAACATGAGCATCGCTGAGGTCATGGATGAAGCAACTATCATTGAGGTGAGGAAGCTGAAATCATGACAGGTATGGGGGGGGGAAATACTGAGAGCTAGAGGTTTCCTTCATCCCCCTACTTGCCAAAACAGTTGTCGTGTGTTCCATGCACTCAGGCTGGAGGTAAGGAGCAGCTGATGAGGGTAAAACCCTCCTTTTTTGTTTGTGTGGTTTCTGTGTTCTCAGAGGTGAAGGTAATGCAGGTTGTGACCTTGGTTTATCTGCCACAGGAGCTGGTGCAGACTGTGAGCTTGGGAGGCAACTACCTGCTCAACGTGGGACCTACCAAAGAAGGGGTGATTGTCCCCATCTTCCAAGAAAGACTCCTGGCCCTTGGGAGGTGGCTGGACATCAATGGGGAGGCAATTTATGAATCCCAGCCTTGGAGAGTGC